AAAATTTACTGTTAAATCACATTCACATATATCAGAATGCATTTTATATACACTTTGGTTTCTGAATTCATTATTGAACTGTATTTTATGAGGCATCTCTGTTGTTGGTATTATTTGAATTTTTGGACTTTGCGTTGGATACATAGAACTACTGATAATGTTATTAGTTGTGTTATAAATATTTTCAGTAGTAGTTGAAGTTTCTTCTAAAATGTCCTTTTCTATTAGTTCATCACATTCTGTTTCATTCATACATGTAAATATTTCTTCAAGTTTCTTTGCATATATTGATTCATTTAATATAAGGTATAAAACCATTAACATAAATTTTGTTGTAAACATGTTGACTTTTGTTTCTATATGCTTTATAATTTAGGATATATTTATTGACAAATAAATTCCTATTCCATGTTCTTTAACTATACGATATATTGAAATAATGTACATTCATACATGACATCCATATTTTTCAAAATGTCGTGCAATTATATGCAATTCAATTTTGACTGTACCCATACTTTCTGTAAGTAACTCAAATCTATCCAAGGAATTAACTAAAACACTTGGTGATTTCAATTGTAAAGTTATCCCCAAAAACTTATCTCTTAGTCTATCTTTCCAATTACCTATATATCAGGAACAAAATAAACATGAAATATAACAAGGTATTAATAAAATTTCATTAAAAAATATTCAACCTACCAATTGGTTTCCACGTATGACACTTTATTGAATGCAATCCAGGAGATAAAGGGATATTACAAACACCATACGACCCAAATAATACTCTTCCATGTGTATCTCTATGAAATATCTGTAACAAAAGTTTTGGTGAATTTTGAAGAGTTTGTGTTGTATAGTGTATATCTATGGGATGGTCCCAAACTGGCTTATTTGTATATAGATCACAACTTTCTTGAGTTTGTCCCTCTTCACAACCATCTAAAATTTTCCATCCACTACCTATGAAAAAAATAAAATTATCAAGTATATGATAATAAATAATAATAAACGTTTTATAAGATAATGATTCCATTACCGGCGTGAAAACTCCACTTGCATAAAAGTCGTGTTTGTGTGAAATCTTTTGCGGACGAAATTCGACCAATTATATGCAATTCAGCCATTCCATAAGATCATTTCATTTTATTACATATTGTAATGAATTAATAAATTGGTGTCATATGTGGCTTTAAACATACCACGCTTGTATAATGTAGTACACATATTTTGTAACAAAAGTTTTGTTAGTATGTAATCATTGTTCGTTATCGTATTTCTGATCAATACATTCTTTTCTTTATCTCCAGAACATAAGGATTACGAATGAGAAGTTGAAAATACTAGTTCAAATAACAAATTAAAGAAATATATGTGATACTATTATACATACACATATCTTATTCAAACAATTGAAAATAAATAAATGATCATTCAATCTTTGAATTACAAATGTATTATGATACATTTGTTGACACATTCAGGGTGCGGTGTGCGGTGCATCATATAAGTGCGCCCTCTTGTCAAGTTTTAATCATATAGTGCATCATAAAATTTTCAATTTTATTTTTTTCAATGTTATACATGCTGTAAAGTCCTATAATGTTAAATGTAGTATATTTAATATTTAAACATTTTATCATATATTATAGATTGTATTAATTTTTATTACAGATATCTTTTATCATAAACATCCTGTAAAATCGAAAGTATTGTATCGTTTTCTTTCATGTTTTTCCCAGATTTCTACAATTATAATACTTACAACTATTTTTGAATTTAAAAAACAAAAATCAAGAAAATTAGCAGAATGCCTCTAAAATACTATTTTTAAAGATAATCTAATGCTTTTTGTTAAACTATCGATTTGATAAATCGAATCGAATTGAATGTTATGTGTATTATGTATCACAGGCTTAGGTTATATGTATTTTCTAAGTGACATTTAGTGATAGCTCTATTCTCATTTGACATTAATAAAGATTTATTTTTGTAAACATCTCTGCTATTTATCTTTCACAATCTAAATGGAAACTAAACCAAAAAGTGAACATCTACTAGAATTGAAAGGTAATAAAAACGATTTTGATGTCGTTTTAAATTAAAAGAAAACAAAACATATTGTTTATTTTGATATATTAACTAAGACTATCGTATAGCAATATGTATACTACATATAGCACTAATAATTGTATCTTTGTTTTTTACCATTTTTAGTAATGAGGTTAACACGACCTACGCTTGCAAGTCCAGTAGTTATTACTTGTGATTCAACAGATCTTCCTGGTAATACTTTAAATAATGAGCTTAAGAATGATTGTACTGCATTACAAGGAATGGAAACCCTTGCAGTAGGACAGTTTATGGTATTACCGCAAAGTTTTGGGTATGTACATGATTATATATCATAATTAAAATTTATTTTGAGCTTTTGAGCTATGTAATTTATAATTAATTATCCATATTTCATATATGAACAATGATAATTATACAATGTAATAATATATGTATATGATTATTTTACTTAAATATAATTTCACAAAAAATAATTTATGTTGAAATTTTATGTATGTATATTCTTTCAGTAACATTTATTTAGGTGAAATATTTTCAAGTTATCTTTGTGTACATAACGGCAGCAATCAGATCGCAAAGAATGTTACTGTTAAAGTAAGTTAATTGTACAAATAAATTAGTCAATAAGATATAATAACTGTATGTATGCTATGTGTCATATAAAACTTATAAACGATAATATATTTCATATTGTAGGCAGATTTACAAACAAGCACACAGAATATATCTCTTTGTGGTAATAGTGGAGAAATGAAAGATTTAGCACCTGACAGTACAGTTGATGAAGTCATACACCACGAAGTAAAAGAAATAGGCACACATATGTAAGAGGCCAGCCATTAAAATTGTAATATGTGTTGAGTAAATAATTAATCAATGTATACTTTTCCAGATTAGTATGTGAAGTAACTTACACCCCAGGAAATTTAAGTAGCACTGCACAATCATTTAGAAAGTACTTTAAATTTCAAGTGGTAAAACCATTAGATGTTAAAACAAAATTTTACAATGCAGAGGTAATATTATGGTAATAATTTTTTTATAATAGTAATATTTAATTGATTAAAATGATATGTATAATCTTTTTGAAGTCAGATGAAGTATATCTGGAAGCACAAATACAGAATCTCACAGCTGGCCCAATTTGTTTAGAAAAGGTTTCGCTTGAATCATCTCATTTATTTAGTGGTGGGTTCACTTAAAATGATTGGTTTAGATGATTATGAACCTGAATTTGTATGATAATTATTATATTTCTAGTATCAACGTTAAATACGAATGAAAAGGGAGAATCTATTTATGGATTAGTTAATATATTAGATACCGATTGTAGTAGACAATATTTATATTGTTTAAAACCACAATTGAGTTTATTAAAAGATCCAAAAATGATGCATAATGCAACAAACATTGGAAAGTTAGATATTGTTTGGAGAAGTAACTTGGGGGAAAGAGGAAGATTACAAACAAGTCAATTACAAAGAATGGTTTGTAGTTTATCATTTCATTCATAAATATATCATATTTGTAATCCTTTACCTAATTTTAGGCACCTGAATTTGGTGATATACGAGTTACAATGAAAAATATTCCTCTCACAGTTTACCTTGAACAATCAGTAAATTTCAATTGTCATATAATAAATACGTCGTAAGTATTTATATCATGTACATATATATGATACAGAGAAGAAAAATAGTTCTAAATTCTAATAGTTGTACTGATTAAAATATTTATATCATTACCATTAGTGAAAGAAGCATGGATTTAATGTTAAGTTTGGAATCAAGTAACTCTATAGCATGGTGTGGAATATCTAATACAATCATAGGAACATTGAAACCTGGTGTTTCGATAGATATTCCTTTATGTTTAATTCCCTTACGTAGTGGTATAATAGTAAGTATTTTGTATAAACATTATAATGATGTTACATTACGATGTGCGTTACGGAAAGTAGTACATTTCGTTTGTCTTATGAAGACTAGCACGTTTCATCATTTCCATCAATAACTAGCATGTTTAACATTAATCACGATAAGGAGCACGATTCACAGTACACCACGAGCAATATCATATTTCGAACATTGCGGCGAAGAGTGGCAGGTTTTATTTGTCCTACGAAGATTCAAATAAAAAAGGTACGTAAATGAAAATTTTGAAACGGTACGTCTCAAAGTAGTATATTATAGAATATAGATTATAAAATGTATAAGATACTAAAATTCAATTATTAAAAATTGATCAGCATTAGTGCTTAAAAGGTCTTATTCTAAGGGAATGTATTCAATGTTATAGTAATATTATTAATTAAATAAATTAGTTTGTTTATATTTGATTAAGTTCTACTTATTTTACTAAAGACATTTATTTCACTTAAAAGAACCATTTACCTTTTTATTCTTATAGTAGAATGTTAGACAACCTATTTAACATAATATTTTTAACAGCTACAAGTGGAACATGTTGTTTTTCACGACAACTACTGAAACGTGGTAGTTTTTATAGCGGAAAAACAATACGAGTTATTCTTTGTCGCTATAAATAAGAACATGTTACCTTTCGATTTACAATTGAAACGCGCTGCTTTTCGTGGTCACAGAATCCAAAGAAAATTGTCTTCGTAAGACAAATGGAACGTACTACTTTTCGTAACGCATGTCTATAAATATTTCAGCATATTATTTAATACTATTATATATACTTTAGACAATTTCGGGATTAAAATTAACGGATACATTTTTGAAGAGGGTATATGATTATGATGACTTGGCACAAATATTTGTTAGCCAAATAGACTAGTCAAAAGGTTAAGTAGTTAGTAAAATTACGTTCATTAACCTAATATATTTTACTAAATAAATAGACGTTTATTAATATATTAAGGAATACAAATATGGAAAGGAAAAAAATAAGGACAATGATTTTTATAAAATAAATTCTTTAAAAATAAGCATCTATTGTAGACATTTTCTCAGTTTCACTCATTGCTCCTACAGCACAAGCAAGTAAAGTTTGAACATCTTGAGGTTCGTTACCGCCAAAAATATAACCGTTAGCCTTATCCACTGCATTTTTTACTTGTAATAACAATGTTTGATTAGAAATATCTAATGGTATAAAGCTAACAAGACTATAATCTTCTACGAGTGATACAAATGCTGCATTTAATTTTTTGTATCTATAAATGTAAAATATTTCAAATTTTATACTTGGATTGATTCATAGAAATTTATTAAAAATAATAAAATTTAATAGAAAATCTTACTTTGATGTAAAAGGGCCTTCATCCAATTTATCTAGCAAATAGTTCAAATCCAACACTTCTGTATAGAAATCTATATTAAAATCTAGGCAGTGACTAAATTTTTTCATTTCATCAAATTTGGTCATCACATTAACATGAGGTAAACCTAATTTTAACATAGTTGTTGTGCAAAGAATTAAAGAAGATAAGTATTTACCTATAATAAAAAAAAGTTATATATTATCTTTTTTAATTACAAGTCTGTCAAATTATGGTGTACTATATATAGAAATTACCAGCATCGCTGCAATGATGAGAATCAACAAGGTGCACACTACATAATCTTACTAAATTTTGTCCTAATTTTTCGGCAATTACACTAACTGAATTGTGATGTGTATATAACTCAACCTATTAATAAACATGAATACAATATGTAATTATCTTAGTAGTGCAATATTTATGTATGTATATAAATACAAACCTGCCCTGGACAATCAAATATAAGATAATGATCTTTCAAATTTAAAACTTTTGTAATTAACCATTTTATATTAGCTTCTAAAAATTCCATACAGTACACCAGTGCTCCGTTTGGACCAAGTCCATAGTGTGACATTACTTCCTCATGTTTAATTAATTCAGATATATCTACTGTTGGTGTATATTGCATGTTTTCATTTGCAGGATCTGTAACATAATAGTATGTTTGTTTAAATACACAAATGTAAGGTTTCAATTACTATTAATCATTAAAATACTATTAGCTTTTACCAATATTAATAACAGCTACTTTTCTTCCAAGCTTCTCCAAAAATTTGGCCATAGCATAACAATATGTAGTTTTTCCACTCCCAGGTGGGCCAATAACTAATTGACCAAATATTAAACTCATATTTGGTTCTCACACTTTCATATCATTTATAGCTGCAACTATAGGTTTTAAAGTATCTGGTTCATAATCCTTTAAAGATATTGAAATTAATAATGGTTTATCTACATTAATTTGCTCTGCTATATATCGGGCAGCTGCCACAAGTTCAACATCATCTTTCCCAAACAATACTCTAAAATCAATGTTATCATTTACTGTTAAAATAATTTGTAACTATAGATACGTTACATAATGATAATATTATTTACTTGGTAGAATATATACTATTATTATACTGATTGAATGAAGATCCACGGCTTATGGCTATCAGCGATCCAAATTTTTTAAAATGTGTTATGATTAATAATATGCGGTTACTAAAAACAAATATAAATAGTTATTGATTTAAAAAAGTATTCTTAAGCAGTTTAAATCTATAATTTTTATCTAAAACAAATACAAATTATGAAAACAAAAATGAATATATTCTTTATTCTATTACCTATAAATCTTCAAAGCAATATCAGTATGATGACCGTGAGTAACTACACAAGAATGATTTTTCATATTTGCTAGGTTATCTGCAATTTAAATTACAAGTATTAAAAAATGTATAAAATTTATAGTACTGATATAAACATAATTTAACGAATAAAACATACCTATATTATATTAAAAACATGTTAAATAATTTCTATTAATTTCATACAAAATAATCGCTCAATTTACACTATATGTCTCTAGTACATTTTAAAATTATAGTAAGTGTTGGTAACTACACTGGTAATATTATAGTAATTTTCTTCAAGTTACATTATAATGTTATGATAACAAAAGCCTAATATGAAATAATAAGCTTGATATAAAAAGAATTAAAAATCATAAAATTGCAGGAGCAATTAGCGAGAGAAATGAAAATTTAATATAAAAATTAAATGTACATGAAAATAAGCAAAGGTAAGCCAATCAGTAACTCAAACAGAGAAATGCATTAAATTCATGTGTACAAAGTTTAGAAGCTTTACTTCGAGCCGATTCTACAACGATTCTTATTCAACGGATAATCCATATTACGATTTCACAAAGGTGTCCCGTTTTTTTATTAATGTTGCGTATTTATGAATTTAAAATACGTTATATGAAGTCGTAAATGCACATTTTACAAAATTTTTTGTTATATTAGCTTACATGATATGAAATTCTAAATTATTTTTTTAACATTAGTAATTTAAGAAGTTAACCTAAGGATATTATATATGTGTGAATAGTTTAAACAGACTGGTTGATGTTAAGGACAATGTCATTATTTAATAAACCGAAGAGAAACATCCGCCGTCGACCTTTCAACGACGATGATGAAGATAATGAAAATAGGATGGAAGTGGAGGACACCCAGCCTGTAAAATCGAAAACAAAGAAGAAGGATAAACCAAAGCAGACGCTCCTCAGTTTTGGAGAGGAGCTGGAAGAAGGTAATTTTTTTGAAGATTGTACATGCACGTACATATGCACAAATGCATTTATCATAAAATGAAAATGTGTTTCGGGATCTTATGTTTATAATAATTTCAGCTAAAACAAGTTGCATACGATATTAAAATTACGAATTTCGTTATATTTAATATTGAAATCATAAAAAATTAATGCAATTTTAAAAACATTTCAATTAATCATATTTTATTCAGTAATTATAAAATTCTTTGGAGAGGTTCCAAATATTACATATAATAAAAATCTAATAATCTGTTATCTTACAGCGGATGATGGAGAAGTCTTTAAAGTGAAGAAATCATCTAGGAGCAAAAAATTGATGAAACAACTAGATCACGAAAGGAGAAAAAAGAAAGGTGAAGAGAAAATGCAAATGGACTCTGAGCAACCGCACATGTCCGTTAAAGTGGAAAAAGAATTAGAAATAAAGACAGATGATCTAGTAGTAAGCTATTTCTATGATGTTTATTATTATTAGAATTTCCCAGACGTAAAACATTTTGTTATTCTTAAATCAAAATTTATTTCTTTATAATACTTCATATTTAGTATTCATGAAAGTATAACAAAGATTGTCAATATGTGCAAATATAACTTTGTTAGAATTTACTTTTTGTAAGCTGTGTTATTTTTGAAATGTGAAAATGTTTTAACATATTTTATGTGAAATGTGATTCTATTAACATAATAAATATACATTCATATAATGCAATACAAATAAGTTCTAAATATATTAAGTATGTATGTACATATAATTATTAAGATATAAATGTGTACAATTAGTTAAATCTTTTTATAAGGAAGATATTAATATTACATTTTAACAATGTTTAATAATTTTTTACTTTTCTAAAATACAAAAATACTTTCTAATCTTTCAATATAATATGTTATTAGCTATGTCTGTTCAATAATAACTATTAATCAATTAATTGATTAAATTATTATTTCTTCTATTAAGTTAAAATTTTTTATTACTAGGTAAAAATAAAAAATGCAGGACCTTTAATTCTGAATGGACGAGCTGCATTGGCAGCTGGAAAGGATGATTATACATCTGATGAAGAGGAAGATGAACCACGTAGTCATAAATTTAGAAGAAATACAGATAAAGCTGACACAATGAAAATTCTTCTTGAAAGTATGTAATGTTTTTATTTGTATCTATAATGTTCAAAACTTTCATTATTTTGTATCTTTTATATTTATTTTTTTTAATATTCTAATAACATTGTTTACAAATATTATTTTGTATCTATAAGGTGGTTGCATACCAGATGCTGCAATGATCCATGCAGCTAGGAAATGCAGACAAAAGGCAAGAGAGTTAGGAACTGATTATATTCCTATAGAAGAACAAAGGTAATATGTTTTATAGCATAATTAACATGGTATAGCCCCTATACAATTTGATTAACTGCTATTAAATGTTGAATTTATTTTGCAAAACATTTGATTACTATGTTAATTTTTTCAGCGATGATAAAGGTAAATCAAGACTTATTAGGGAAGAAGATCATGATAGAAGTGATGATGATGATTCACAAGACCGAATTGATATGACTGTTAACACTGAAGCGCGTGATAAAGAGAAAAGGAGAGAAGCCTTCCTTGCTTCACAAGTACCATTAAAACGTTAGGTTTTGGTTATTTATTATTTACGATCTTTTCTTAAATAGATAAGTGAATGCATTGTATGTATTTTTTAGTTTCTGATGATGAAAGTGAACACGAAAACGAAGAAGAAGAGTGGGAAGCTCAACAAATTAGGAAAGGAGTGACTGGTGCACAGGTAACATTTGTATTGAAAAAATTGTGCAGCATGCACTATTACATTTATAATATAAATAAAAATGTTTAGATTGCAGCAGCGCAACAAGATTCCATGATGCAACAACAATATTCAATGGGTATGAACGTCAATTCAATGATGGGAAGTGGAATATCTCTGGAAATGGTAATGATGCCAGCTCCACCACCTCCTCCAGTGATTCAACCCCCAGATCCTACAAAAATAGTACCAATCACTCCTCAAGAGGTTGTGAATAAAATGCGTGCAAGGTAACAATAACTAAATTAAAATTTTGATCTAATACAGTTTTGAAACTTTTAAAATTTATAAAATATGGATATAGTTTTTATTCCTATAAAATCAGAATGAAAAATATAATTCGTAGATTGGACAGTTTAAAAGAAGTGCATCGACGTCATCAATTAGATCAGGATCGTTTAGAGCAAGAGTTAGGACAAACTGTGAAAGAACTGGATGATGCTGAAATTCGTGCACCGCAGCTTGCGCAGCGCTTCAGATATTACCAAGAGTTGCGTGGGTATGTCACTGACTTGGTAGAGTGTCTTGATGAGAAGGTGGGTTTATACGCTGTCACGTTTTTTTATGTGCACTGGGGTTTTCCATGCAATTTTTGGCTGTATAATTACTCAGCCATATTAGAAATATATATACAATGCATTTTTCTTATTAAGTAAATTTCTTGATGAAAAATGTGCAATATAGCTTTCCTTTAGAGTATTAGAATTTTTGTTCTTAAATATTTTATATTGCTAACACTTTTGTTATGTATTCATTGGCTAAAATTATGATAATTGTTGATGAGTATATAATTAATTAAAAAGTACTATATTTAAATACTAAAAGATGTAAAATATTCTTTTAGTTTATATATATATTTAAATAAATCATAAAATATTAAAAATATGTATTACAAAATAAAAGTTAAAGGATATTTTATGTATCTATTAATGAATTAGAATTTCTCTCTCTATTATTACATATTTTTGGTATTATTTTGATATTTAATTATTATTAAATGTATTATTTTGTTTTATTTTGATATTTTTATATATATCATAAGATTCAGAAAAGAAGAAAAATGCATATTAAACTAAAGAATGGAATTTGCAAGAAAAAAGTATAGCATTTATGTAATGTATATTTGCATTGCCGGGGGTCTGTATCTTCTCTGTATAAAGAAATTATTTACTGTGTAGTAAAAATATTTTTAAGTATTTATAAGAATTGAAAAGATATATTAATATGTGTGGTAAGTAAATTGTGATATTAATTTCCAATTTTTTAAGCAAAAGATATCCAATGATTGTGGAATTACAGATTAAGTTCCAGCAAATGTTAAAGACATATATTGTTTCACCTTTTACAAATTATTTAAAATAAATATTAAAACATATTTATTAAAATATTATTACTTTGATATCAATATTTTCTGGAACAAACACAATTCTCAATGTCATTGAGTTAATTTACTGTGTCAATGTTAACATGTAACTTTTTTGTTAGTTGCCGCTGGTCATTGGATTGGAGCAGCGCTGGTTAAACCTTTATAATGAACGTGCAATAGAACTAATGGAAAGAAGACGACAAGATACAAGGGATCAAGCAGAAGAGATTACAACAGCTGCAAGTCAGTTATTTCAGTATTATATATAATTACCTGTGTCTGATAAAAAATATAATGAAAAGTGTATTTTGATCAATATAATTTAGATATGAATTATTTTTTAAATTACAGGAGGACAACCTATACGAAGAGGGCCAGAAGTTGAAGCTCGTATCCGTCGAGCTACAGAGAGAGAAGGAAGAAGAGCTCGTCGAAGAAGAGCTAGAGAATTAGCTCCTACATTACCAAAACATATTGATGGAATGTCTAGCGATGACGAAGTTACTGAGCAGCAAAATCTCGCGTTTAAACAAACAAAAGGTTGTACTTTAACAAGTTTAATTAAATTCAGTTTACGAAGAAGTAGAATTTATAATGTTTACTATTGTCTATGAAGTATGGATTAACACTATATATTAATTCTTATCTTTTATAAAATGTCTTCTTTCTATATTTATTTTCAGATGAAATTGATAATGACAGTAAAGAAATATTTTCTGACGTCATGGACGAATATTGCACAATAAGAGGAATACTTTCAAAATTGGAGTCTTGGAGAGAAACTGATAGAGATGCTTATATGGAAGCTTATGTATCTTTATGTATACCTAAAATTATTTCTCCGATTATTAGATTACTATTATTGACATGGAATCCTATTATGGTACGTGCATTATATCAAACTTTCATATATTTTAGTTACAAATGTAATAATAACGGAATAAAATACTAACTCTAAATCAAAATTTTTCTTTTTTTAGGAAAGTGCAGATATAGAGAGAACAAAATGGTATAACACTTTACTTTTATATGCATTAAATAATAAAGAAACAGAAGAGTCACT